AAAAGCGCTCATAACTTGGCGTCTAGAGGCGTTTGGCAGAAAAGATAGATTTGAAATCAGCGTTTGATGCCCTTTGATATGTGATTCATATAGAAAGCCGTTTTCGACTTCGATCCTTCCCTTGTGAGAAGCAAGATTGCCTCACGATAAAGCGGCAGTGCCGTGCGGCGCGCACTGCAGACCATCGTCACGATTTTTAAAGTCGACAATACATATGAAAGCTTGATTTGAAGAACATGCATGAGCATTGCAGGTTCTAGCGCTTTTCACGGTCAAGATTCAATCTTTGGCTATTTATTTTTAGACTTTGGCCTCAAACTTCCGTGGGATAGTCTTCATGTTGCCTGTTACGAAGGTAAGTGTTAACGCAACCTTGAACAAATCGCTTTCCACTATCAAATAATTTTTTGCAAATATCATTTACAGTGGGGATAGCTCAAGAGCATGCGATAGCTTTGCAGCAACCCATTTCACTGTTGAGAATTCCTTCCCTTTGAAGCACAATAGTGTGCAACAATATTTTCAAAAAAGCTATGAGATGAGCTATTGAATCAATTGCCAGCATAAAACATTACCAATATCTGTGTAGGAAGGCCAATATAAATAGTTGCCAAAGTAATTTGAATTTCCGCACAATTGACTAGTTCTGACTGGATGCTTTCTCTAATTTTTCAAATCGGGTACGTTACTTACCCTTGTTTCTGTCTGATGTAAAGCGGTCGCTCGGCTGCGCTTACTGGTCTCGTTCTTGTTGTTTTAGCCGAGGTTTCACGATCCGAGTCTAAGGTATCCACTTTCCGATTCCTCAGAATTTTTCTTCTTGGCTTTTTAAACATGTTTCTAGATCCGATTATGCCAGATGATTTTTTCACGAGTGGCACAGACGTCACAGGAGCCACAACTGCAGGCTTGGGTGTTTGCCTTGGGCGAGTAGCGATCTCTACTGGTGTGCTTAGAGAAGAAAATGATGAAAGTGCTGATAATGATGGCATTGTGAGCATAGTGGGTAGCGAGTTAGAAGGACCACCGGTGGTTGGGCGAGTTGCAGCCTCCACTGGGATTGGAACAGTAACGGTGGCCTCCGAATGCACTTCCTCAGTAACAGTTGCTGAAGTGGTACTCGTGCTCGGTCCTTCATCTGCTGGAAGCAATTTGTTTTCATGCGTAGACAGAAAATAAACATCTTTTGCACCACTTTTTGAGGAAGTAACAGTATAATATATGTAAAGGCCGCTGCATGACGAAGGCGCTTCAACCTCGG